GTGTAGAGATTTTCAATAAATTTAAAAAATACGGATCTAACAAGTGCGAAACCGATTCTTGGAAGTATATAAAATTATTTACAAGTGGGCATTAATAATGCTTAAATTGATAATAAAGTTAAATTAAATTCTATTTCAAATATCGTCATTATAACCAACCAGAGTCATAACTAAAATTGCTGAAATGCAGTATGAGTTAAAATTTCATCACGCTCCTATTAGGATCCATGTTCTGACATAAATTTTATTTCTCCTTTCATATTTTGCTCGTAAGTGATGTTAATGTTACACTTGCTAGGTTTAAAATGTTTTACTAACGTAATTTCATATTTAATTTACTATATCTACATATCTATAGATAATAACATTTTTTAATTGACAATTATACAAAATGATACAAAGATTTCTCCTATCAAATTAATGTTTATTCTTCGACACTATCAAAATTTACGATTTTTCTCCTGTGTAAGGAAGTTTTGACAACTGTTTGGCATTTCTCAATACGAAACCTCAGATTATTTTTAACAGATTTAAAGCAATTTTAAGCCTTGTTGAGTCTAATTCGAAGAATAAAATGTTGTATTCAACTCGTTTTCATGTAAATGAAATTATTCCACCTCGTGGATGATAAACCACTCGTTAACACTCGTGACTTAAAAATCCACTCGTGAAATAAAGCGTTCGCTTTACACTCAAACTCGTCGAATAAATAACTATTTTTTAATTCAGTGTGAAAAAAGTGTATAAATTGTATGCAATTATTTTTCTACGTAACATTACATTTCAGAAATTTTTTTATTTTTTTATTTATTTTTTTTTTAATTCTCATACGTTTTAATTTTTCAACTTTCAAGTTCATCAGGCTTATTTCTAATGTTTGAATTTTAGATTTTTTTGTTAAATTTACATGTAGTTTTCTCAATTTGTTTTTCAGTATTTTCAGGTCTAGTGATTTACGTTTTTGGGCTTACGAATTTCTTCAATTTTTTTTTAATTCCAAACTTTTATGTAATCAATTTTCAGTTTTTTTTTGAGCTTTTTTTGTTCTGAAGTATATGGTTTTACGTATTAATTGGTTTTAGATTTTTAAGTTTATTTATTTACATTTTTTAGTTCTGATTTTAGAAATTTTAAACTTTGAAGTCGAATGTTTTTTAAATTTATTATATGTTTCTGATTTTTTTTTGTAGTAGTTTTTATGCTATTCAATTCAGGCTTATCTAAATTTTTCAGATTTTTGGTGTTAGTAATCTCGAATTACTTAAATTTTTGGTCTAAGTTAATTCTAAGATTTCCAGTTGTAGTACATTTCTACACAAATTGTTTCAGAGTTTTTCAGATTATTAGCTTTTTGGGTTTTTAGACTTGCAGATTCAGGTTTTGGATTTCGAGTTTTTTTGAGTTGGATTTTTGGTTTTTGAACTTTTTAAGTTTTGTCTATTAAGTTTCAAATTTTAGTTTTGACATATCCACAATCCACTAGTGTTTTTCAGTTTGATTTTTTATCTAAAATTGTAAAAAACTGAATATTATATGATATTAAAATAATATGGAACACTAACAAAACTGTCTATCTGACTCTTCAATCTGTTAAAAGTGGCTGTGGTTACAACAAGCACCACAATGTACGTAACTTAACTCTTAAAAATCACTGAGCAATCATTCAAGAAACACAGTTTGCTTATTCAATATTTTCTTAAAATTTCTTTCATCTTTCTACCTCTCAAGATGTTAGCTTATGCAAATGATGGTATTTTATCCGGCAAAGTACACTATAAATCCCAAGTTAAAAAATAAAGTACAAACTCTCTCATGCCATGCTTAAATATTTAAAAGTTTGAATTTTTTTCTCTCGACATGCCTTATCGAATTGCTTACACAAACTTAAATATTCTCTTTGATTTATAACAAAATTGTATAAAGTTGGTTTGCAGACGTTGCGTGATTTTTCAATTTCCTTGAATATACAGAAAAATTTCTACAAACAGGTATATTTAAACTTTTGTTTATACTGTAGAAGCAGTTTTCCCCTTCAAATAACTAGTTTCATATCTTTGTTTTTCTATAAATAACACAGTTCTTGTTTTAATTGTAGTTTTTGGCTAAATGTCAACAGCGTTTTCAATTATCTTTCGTTAATTAAGACATAAATTACGTCGTAAAAATAATTTGAGTAAATTTGGAAAGTTTCAATTTAATAGCAGTCTCCTCTCCAGGATCTGCAGAAATCACTTTTGTTGTATTTATTTTTTCAGCTAACTTTTCAGTAAGATTACATCCTCGAGCGATATTTTTGCTAACATTTAAGTGAAATTCTGGGTCAACTGTCGTTCTGAAAGATCGATGATTTTTCTTATTTACTTTTTGTCTTATGTAACAAAGTTCTTTGTTAATTTGTGTAAACGTCTGGTGTTCCCCTCATGACGCCAGAACTGTCAATCCTTGTTAACTCAATTGGCAATGTCGAATGTGCAAGTGTGATTGAAATTCCCTCAAGCGGATAAGAAGGCATTAATGTGAATATCGACCTGAGAAGTTTGTGGAAACGAAACGATTTTCTCGTCGCGAATCGAATAGAAATTCAAATGTCATTAATTCAGAAGTTTGCGTTTATTCGATGAGAAGTGCTAACTTGTGATTTGCGAAATTAAACCTCGGCACAAATTCCAATTTCGTCCCCGTATCATGGAAGCTATGTAAATTCCATTGTAATTTCACCCGTAATTATATAGCGCTCGTAAAACTCAGCCCCGAGTGCGGGAAAAAAGCGCCGAAGCACGTGCAGACGTTGGCTAGGTGGTAACAAGTTTCTTGGCACACAGATGATACACAATATTTGTTTTTCTAACTTACAGCCGTGGAGTTTAGCTTAGAGGAGTTTGTCTAACAAAGTCACTTTTTTAGCATCTGTCGAGGGTGTAATTGAAATATCCCCTCGTATGTTGTAGCTGAGTTAATTAGGTTTCGCAGAGATGAGGGCTTCTTGCACCAGATGGTAATGGACTTGGAGCTAATTATACAGTAAAGACACTATATGCACTATTGTGTTTGTCATTGAGGCGAGAACCCTCACAATCTCATCCTACAATAATACCGCCTTCTAAACAAATACCTCATCAATGTACCACACTGGACTAATCTAGGCAACAAAACAATGGAAGCTTGACTAAGAGAGATAATGCCGCATGAATGAACACAATCACTAGAGCAAACCAACAAAATAAAAATTTGGTCGGATAATAGATCCCTTTAATATTAGAAGAAAGAATTTTTTAAAATTTAGCCAGACCTATAGAACAAGTTGTAATAAAATTTTAAATTAAATTAAATTCAAGTATATCGGTAAAATAAATTAACACTGTTGAAAAACCCTTCTTCGTTCTACCACAGGTACCAACCACATGGGTGTATCGGGGCGGAAGCACCCATTGAAAATAATGTACTCTTGCTTAAGGTAAAAAAATATAATAATAACTTTTAATAATTTCGTGTTTATTCTAATCTTTTTTCAGTAACGTTGAATTCTTTAAAATGAGTTTTAATGTTAAAGGTAGATTAAATTTTCTATTATATTTTCTCCTTCAAGAAAATGGATCAAATTCATCGTTTATGTTATTTTATTTTATTTTTCCATTTTTTAAATTAATACAAATTAAGCTTTTTATATATAAATCAGTGCATGGATCGGATAACTTGTTTATTCAGCTTCACTTTGCCTTTTTTATGTTCTCTTTACGTTAATTTGTCGCTGAGATATTTGACGTTTAATGAAAAAGGATCTTTTTGTCTTTGATGGCAACTTACGATCGCACAGAGAATATAAGGGTTATTTCACGAGTAGTCAACAATTGTCGAATATTTTTATGAATGGTCATTCGCTTATGAATACCATGACGTGTATCACGAATGGTATTCGCGAACGTAATGACCAAACATAATTTTTTTGCAAAAGCTCCCAAAAAACGAATCACACCACTTATTAACTAAAAAAAAAATCGCCACCATAGTAACCAAATTGACTTTTTCGCCCGGAAAAACTTTTGGGGACTAAGTACCTAAAATAAAAATTTACGTTCAAAAGACTCATTTTAGGTACTCAAATGAGTTCCTAAAACAGCTATTTTTGGAAGTGTTACAAAAAAAGAGTTTTTCCACTTTTTTTTTTACAATTTTTTATGTTAAATCTAAAAAAATCTAAAAAATTAAAATAATTTTTTTGATATTTTCAAACCAAGACTAACTAATTTTTGAGACCATTTAGCTTTTGCATATCTAGTATAATTTTACTAATCTCAAATTAATTGCATGAATTGTTGCTACCTCCAAGCTGTATTCAGCACTCGATTTACCAACGTTCATTCAAGTAATTTTTTAAATTGTTTCCGAATTTTTTTTTTCTTCTTTAGCAGCAGTGTATTATTTCTCAAAACTTAACAACTGGAAGCATTTTGCAACTTTGAACATGTACTATTTTACTTTTTATTGTACACATGCATTAACCACTTTTGATTTTTTTACTGTTATTCATTGATTTTTTCTTTAGTACTATACGAAAAATTATATTGTTATTAAATGCTCTAAACATTAAACACATAAAATTCAGCAAAATATAGAGAAGAAGAAATCGTTTTTTCTCGTGATTGTTCCCAAGCCATGTAAGTTATATCAACATAATATGTATACCTAGAAGATCTGAAAAAAAAATATGTCATTTGTAATACAAATTTTGTATTGCTTTAAAGACGATTAATTTATCAAATTTTTTGTTTATACACTCATTGAAAATATGAAAAGTCGGCGCTCATGCGTTCTCCAATACAACTAATTGTTTTATTTATTGATATTTGTTTGTCTTGAACTCTTGAAATCTTTTTATTCAATCTGCTTGTTTAATTTACGATTCCTTAAACCCTCTTCTGATTGAAATATTTAATTACGGAAACAATTACTTAATTTGCCCCTCATCACTTTAACTAAACGCTGACCTGTCTCTTTTCCAGCTTACTCAGAATGCGTGAACGTACATTTCGAAAACAAAGACGGAGGCTTCTTCCTGAAACAATCTCCTCGTCAGCATTTCATACCGGCACCGGAACTGAGCGGCACTTCCTCCACCAACGGATCTCCTCTCTCAACCGATCGCTTCACGGTGTTCCAAAGCTCGCAGCCAATCTCAGTTCGCGCAACATATGGCCCTTTCAGCACGAAACAGACCGTACCGGCACGGTACGTGGTTCCGGACCCTCTACCTCTCAACACAACAGGTGAGTTAATTGGGGATTAATAACCGCGAAAATTAACACTCTTGGTGTCGATTAGGCCCCGCCATCGACCTGCAAGACCTCGCCACCCACCACTTGGACATGTCGGCTCATATCGTTCGGAATGAAATCCCTCGAGACTCCCCCGTTCTCCGTGTTTTATTTCACACGGGAACCGATCCGGGTGGTCGCAGACAAATTTTGTTAACACGCCACCACCAACGTGTGTGCATCGTCCTCCACGCCACTCTGGGAACTAGACCACCCCTCCATGCGGCTTGCAGTCCCGATGGCGAGGATGGGGTGTGTTTGGCGCAAATTACGATACCCCCTTCGTGGTGGCCACCTTTACCGAGTCCTGATAAGGATGGAAGGCCGGGCAAGATCACGAAAACGCCCCCAAGATTGGTTCAAGTGGCGTATTCGGTGATGGAGCCGAGGCCTGAAGATGCGGAAGGATGTCATCCCAAAATGCAAATACAGCCATCGACGGTGTTAGGCAGTGTGCCGCTTGTTCCTCCAAAAGGTGCCTACAAGGAGCTGAAACTGACAGATGCTATCATGATGTTATTGCCGCATCCGCCGTTGTTTCCCAAATCTAGGATGCACGTCCCGGTTTTCATTGACAAAGAAAAGGCGAAAATGCTCACAGCGATTGTTATAAGGTGGGTTTGTATGAGAATTTATTAGCTACTTTTTTAATATTTCTTCGGGTAAAATTCTCTAGTTTAGAGCTTTGTGTTTATTTCTGCTTTTAACTATTCAAAAATCAATAGATACTCTGAATATGCTAAAATTAGCTCACTCTGATCGATTCTCCTTGAACATGAGGCCCCATTATTACTTCACGACTACTCTGCTGATTGACAGGTGAATCAAAAGCACTCCTCTTCTTAATTGATTGGAGAGCATTCGAAAATGTGAGGAGTGAGTCCTGGTTTTATGATGTTTTCCGCTGAGAGTTTTCAATCAAATTGCCAAATTAAATATGTGGGTTCGGATAAGTAAGCAAGTTTCAAGGTGTATTTTAATGGTGAACTTCTGTCATAAAATTGATTTTTTCTATTTGAGACCAAATTTTGTGTCTAAAATAATTTCGATCACGCAGACTTTTTACAAGTCAGCAAAGATTTTTTGACACTTCATTTATTTTAAGCTACGCAAATTTGTTTGGAAAAGTTATTAACAACTCGTAGGTTTTATGAGGGTTATTGAAAAACTGTATGAGAAACATCAACGAAACTTGCTAACATCTAAGTAAGTCAAAAGTGTTAAAGTGAGTTACGACCGTTGTGTGGAAAACGATTTTCACACCGCAAATAAAACCGACACAGAGTTGCTACATTCATGTAAAAGTATTTACGATAAGAAATGTTAAAATAATGACGTTAATGGTCTTTTTATGATCGATTTTACGATTTGCATTGTTCGGTTTTAATGCTCTATTCGTATTCAGACTTGAGGCATTTAGTCGCCGTCTATTGTCTTTAAATTGGGAGTTCATAATTGATCGTTTGATCACTCTTTCAATTTCGCATAACATGGGAATTTGAAAATAAAAGATAATGAAGCGAACTTTTGTTATGCAGACTTTTTTAATGGAAAAATATTTGTCTGTATGAAATATGGAAATAATATGGAGCTACTAAGAGCAACGCAAATCAATTGTGGTTTAACATGCGATGTCTGGGCAAAATCGTATTTAGTCATGAATAATTTGTTAATATAATTTATAACTTTATATGCAAAAACGTACATGCTTTCCGTTTTTGTTTCCGTGTTTCCGGTTTCAGCAAACATTTTCATTAAAAAAGCCGTTGCATTATTTTGAAAACGAGCCAAATCATTGAACGTTGAATAACACCTACTTTAAACAATTGCCAACCATTTTATACAGTTTGAGGAAAATATGGTGCGCTCTCTTTCTAAAATAACTTGAGTGGAAATATTAATATTAAAAATGCAACAAAAAAGCCTTAAAATTTACTAACAATATTTAATTTAACACTACTAACACTAGGTTTGTTATGGGATGTTAACCAAACTGTTGTAAAATGAAAACAATATTTGTATTATTGGACAGTGTGCTTTTCTAGTTTTTGAATAAAAAATGGATTGTTTATGTTTTACGCTTTTTAAATTACATTTTTTCTCTCTCTTTGGCACGTTAAGAAAAATTTTTTAATTTGTAAATCGTATTTTTAAGTTACGACGAACTAAGTCAAATAAGGACAGAAAATCAAAATACATTCAGACAAGAGAAGAAATAAAATTTAGCGTTTTTTAACAGTTTTTAATTGTAAGTAAAGAATTCCGATAATTATTAAGTCACAAAAAATCAGATTTTGTAAATATTTTTATAAATTTCAAGAAGTACTGTTTTGTTTATAAGAGTCTCACTGCGGAAAATAGTTGAAGCCATAGGAGCCTCGCTTGGAATTGAATGTGAAACAAGTTCAGCTGAAATTTTTGTATGAAAGTATCGATTGAGACCAATAAAAAATCCGTTAAATCAGTTTTGCTATAGAATCTCGAGTTCGCTCTTTCTATGAAGTTTAAAGCCTCGACAAAAAATAAAAACTTGTATTTCTGGGGCGCCGCTTTAAGAAAGCAAATTCCCGTGCCTTGATTATCAATGGTTCCTTTGTGTCAACAAAATGCGGTAGCAGACGCATTAATCAGGATAGAAACGCCGTGCTTGGCACACGAGTTCACCATTTTAATCACAGTATATTCAATTAAAACATGACAGGGACACGTTTAGTCTCATTGCTATATCATAAAGTTGATTTATGACCGGTTGAAATTCCTGTCAAAAAATTCGTCCCATTTCGAATTAAAAAAATTCCATCAGTCGATCTCAAGCTTCTGCAAACGATTCCAACATTGCTGCTGTTCTAGGTATATTAAACAGAAAATGTAATTACGTTTTGATGATGTGACATTTCCAGATGACGCACTCGGTAAGACACGCGTTTTAGGGTAACTTCACGACGATTCACATAATGAACGCGAGTTCATTCAGAGATAATTCATTTAAACCTAACTTGGTTATTGATTTTTGGCAGTTGTACTCCTAGAAATGTGGCAAAAGAAACGAGAAAACTCAATTTATTTTTGATTAGACCGCGTGTGCTACAACATGTCAAGAAGGAGATAATTCCTTTGCTCCATAGAACTAATTATTTTCTCGAGAACACATATTTTCCTCATTCTTCATTTACTTGTCACCAAAACGAAGCGAAAGCGGTTACAACAGGGGAATTTAATTTGGTACTAGTGTCGTCTGGATTAAATCCAGGTTTTTTAAGCCTGCGGCCAGGGAGATCACGATCGAGTCTAATCCTCTTGGAAAAGTATTTTTTCTAAACTATAAATTAAAACAAGTTTGTGCCGCCTGCGATGTAATATTTTCCGGCTATAAATTTCTCGCTAAATTATTCGCAACATCTGTGCACCTGATTTCCAATATTCTCGCCCTGCTACCTATTATAGTTTCTTCCACATTTCCTGATCTTTAATTCATCGAGGGTTTTTTCCAGTTTTCGCATGATTTTAGTCAGAACATAATTTCAGGGATAAATTTCTAAAAAAAAGCAAAATTAAAGTGTCAGTTACGTGCTCAATTGGCAATGTCGTTACTTGTACACGTCATTTCTCTTCCCTTCCGAGTTATACCCGACGAAATGGACTTTTGTTTTTCATTGCAGCCCCGAAACGGGATTAGTTTCAGGAACTTTGTAACTCCACAATAAATTGACGAGTTACCAACGAAAGGACTTAAAACTATTGCAGTAAAACATCTCATTTGGCAGCTGGGATGGAAATTAATTTCGAATTTTTGCCAAACTTTATAACTTGGCTTTTCTTCCAGCGGGTGCAATCATGCATTGGCGAAAATTTCCTTGACACCTCGTTCGAAGGCACTTTTTTGCATAAATTAGAGCTACAAGTGAGACAGGGCAAAAATTTCAGACTTGATTATTTGTCTTTTCTACACTTGGCTGGTTCAGAAGCTGCTCGCTGAGTAAATCTATCTATAAAGGAAAACATTCACATTAATTTTATCTTTCAAGCGATGAGAACCCACGATAAACTGCAATGATAAGATTGAGTTTTTCTTGGGTAATGCAGAAATGTTACACTCGGAATTTATTCCAGTTTTTAATTTTAAAATGACGTTTTGTAATGGCATGTTCAAATAAGATAAATACACACATGTAAAAACTAGTACAAAGTTAGTTCCATTTGAACGAAATCTTTGGAAAGATTTTCTACAAAAGATTTATTTCATTGGAGGATGGGATGAGCTTTATTGTATACCTAAATGTGAGAAGCTATGATTGTTTCTTTTTTTCTTTCTTTTTTAATAAAAACTATTGCCATACCTTTCTATAAGTGTAGAGCAGAATCTTACGTATATACAAGACATATTTAAATTTTACTGCGAATTTTTTTCTTTTTTGTTGGAACTTTTTGTGTACACGTAACTTTTTAATTTTACTATCCAACACTGAAATTCATATTTAGACGAAAGAGTGTACTTATTGCGAATTTGAAATGTGTTTTAATTTTTATTGCATGTATTTTGAGAAAATCACACTTAATATTCTGAAAATAACTTCTCTTGGCTCAGTGTCTTGTTCAGAGAAAAAAACTTTTTAATTTTTTTCCTGGAAAATCAAATTAAACCCCATTTGTAAAATCGGTTTTACTTTCTCGTATAATCACATTTTTGTATTTTTTTATTGATTTTTAGAAAAAAAAATTAATAAATTTGTTTTTATTTTTAGGGGGTTTTAATTATACTGTTGCTGGCATTTTGTAAAATCAGAATAATAAAAAAGGATATAAAATTTTTATTATAATTAGGACATAACTTTTTATTTTTGTTGTACACCTACTGAAATTAGTAATCTGATCCTCGCATTATTTTTATAATCTTCGAGTCACGAAAGATTCTTGTAAAATCTTAACAGTGTTTAGAATAAAATTCCTTTCTGGAAAATTATATTTTGTCATTTCCCCTTTTTTCCATTATAGCCTACTCTTAAAGTTCTCTTAAAAAACTTGGAGAATATAAAACACGGTGGATTCAGTAACTTCGGATGATATATTCAAGCAGCGACAGTGCTAATTGAGCACGTAACAGTCATTTTTTTTTTCCAGTAAATTTATTGTGGAAATATGTTCCCTTGCCTTACCCTTAAAAAATAGTGGTGCTTTGCAAGATTTGGAGCGGATAATTAGATGAATTATACGAGGCCGGTTACGTGCCCTCTAATTTGTACCTGTATGTCGTTGAAGGTCCCTCGAATGTAAGGATAATGAATAAGGTTGTGGTTTTGTTGCAGAGGGAGGGTGAAGAGCGGCGTTCGTTTGTTGGAGGCGGCATCGGCAGGGGATCCGGCCTGGAACATGACAGTGGATATCAACCCACGACACACCGGCGCTTCGGTAACTCTGGTTCGGAGGGAGCCCCCAGATGCGGAAGTTAGCAATTCGGAGGGAGAGTGAGTATTTGCGAGAAAATGTCATCTTGGTGTATACCACAATTTGTAAAGAAAGCAATAGAGCTTCCTGGTTGTTTAATGAAGTTAAATACTTTAATACATTATGAAGATAGGGGCTGTGGACGTGAGACTTAGTGATTTTATGACCTTCATTCTGTTCTCTCGTGATTCCTCTATAGCTCCCAAAGGATTACCGCCAACGTTGCGGCTGCGACCAAGAACAGAGTCCTTTTTCAAAGGATCATGGTCATAAATACATATAAAGTCGAAGTTAACTCGACTTTGTGAAAAGTAAATACAAAAGCTATCGCGTTCATGTCGAACTTTGCGAAAGGGTCGGCATTAGCCTAATTTGAAAAATTGTTCTCCGAAGCTTTCGAGCTTTTGATGAAAGCGTAGAGAAAGTTTCATGTAATCATGTGTGGGCAGAACTGGCAGCTGAGAATTTTTCTGCCATAAATACAGACTTATTTATTAATAGTTCAATATTTTGAAAAAATAATAGGATTTTTTTGTTCAAACGAGCGACCCTTTTAGCTTTGCCTTGTCGCATCTAAACCCGGTTTTCGTCTCATTCTCGTCGTGTTATTTCCAGTGTAACGGAGCTATTTACGTGGTTGATCGAGGTGGGTGAGGACGATTCGGAGCCTTACGAGGGTGCGAGGATTGTGTGGTCGGCGAAATTCGAACCTCATCAAGACGAAACGGATAATGGGGAGATCCATCGAACGGAAGGCCGAAAATCCACCACAAGATTTGACGTTCAAAAAGACGACATTCAAGCCGTGGTCCCCATCAGCAAGGTAAGTGCTTCCGACGTCTGGTCCAGGCCTATATTCAGCCAAGTGCGAGTCATTTGCATGTTTACGATGTGAGAGCAAATGGCCCGCTAAATAGGCCATTAGCAGCCGTCAACATGTATCCTGAAAAAATTTCATCCGAGCTGAGATTTATGTCGTGTTGTGTGATTAAAGTGGGGTCTCGTGAAACGGGAAAATTGAATTGGTTTCATTACAAAGTCAAAGGTTTTTGATGTGTTTGAGTGTAAAAACAATACAGGCAGAGTCGTGCAAAAGTTTCTCGATTAGTCTCCAAAAAACAAAACTTTAATCATTCATTTTCTCTGCTACTGTGCTCGAGATAATATTCCTGTCATCAGTATAATCAGGTCTTTTTGCATCATATTTTCGTCATTTATTATTCCTTATTATTAATGTCTTCATTTAAAAAGTTGCATTTGTTAAATAGATAAACGGCTGGTATTACACAGTAGCAGATTCCATCAACTTTTCAGCACAAAATGACTTTTTTCTGAAAGATTTTCACACGTACAAAACAGTGATTTATCTTATTTTTCCGCATGTTTCCTTGAGCGCTTTTTGTCCTTATGATGTTGCATTTCGAGAAAGAAATCAATTTTAGTTTAAAATAAATTCGTGCACAGTGGACTTAATTAAAAAAAATTGTTGCGTCCGCAGCCAGATCTATGTGAGCTTGGGGAAATTGCGGTTTGTTGGTGTAGATTTAATGAATTAAAATTGGTTAATTTTCGCTTGGGAAAACTGTTGTTAACGACAGACATTTTCAAAAGTTGAAATCCAGGGCATTTTTTAGCAAGGAGATAATTGTACTTTTATTTTTCGCCTGGACTGTTGTTGGAGAAGAAGAGAAGAATTAAAAAGTTTCTGATATAAAATTTTTTAAATATCTTTCAGTATACAAAGTTTTCAGCGTTCCAAAAAGTGTTGATTACGGAAACATTGTCTAGACTATATTTTGTGGAAAAATAGAACTGCTGAAGCTTTTTTAACTTTTTTTACGACAAATTTAGGACAATACAAGATATCTATTCTTTTTTTTAATCTTCAGACAATTTTGTCAACAGTAAAAATCTATTGCTTCTTTTATTGTTTCAGTAACGAATAATTACCGATTTGCGCTATATATCCTTTAGCTATTTACCGTCAATAATCACTCTGCATTTCAGTTATTTTCCAAATTTGCGTATTTTAATTCATCATCTGTTGTTTTATTTTTAGCAGATAATTCTTTTAAAATTGTTGAATCACTTCAATTGACTAATTTTCTTGAAATTTGTAAGTAAAAACTGTCTCTGAGACGTTTGAACTTCCTCTATTAGCTGGTTTTTGTTTTATATCCGGCAACATTCTGATTATGCGGAAAATTTAAATTCTTCACCGTGAGGCTACACTGCATCGTTGCATAGGAACGTGAGGTGCTTTCTTCCACCAGCAAGCAAATCCGATTGCGAAGCTCTTGAATAAAACTTCAAAAAGTATAAAACGAAAGCTTTCTATCCGTACAACGAATAAAAACCAAGAGCGTCAGTTGTGCTTAAAGGCGTTATAATTCCCGAATTCCTGTAAACAGTGTCGTTTCTATTCAATTATTTACCCCTCACTACGGACGGAATATTAACCGAGCCACATTAAAACGTGTATTTCGCGTAATGGCCACACATATCCGTTGCAAAGCAAGGCAATCTTGCAAGTGGTCGTTTATTGCCGACATGTTATGCTAAAAGTTCTAATGAAGTGTTAAAACGGGCGTATTGTGGGACTCCGCCCTTTTCCACTTACTGCACTAATGAAATTCTTTCACATATTTTGAGGGGAAAACGCGAATTTACGGTCAACTTGTTGTTGTTTACTCTCAAGTTTTATTCCACGAATCAATAATTTGGATTGAGGAAGTTTCCGACTGGTGGTTTGTCATGCAAATATTGATGCACATTAATTTTTAGCCAGTCCTGATTCGACCCTTATTTAGTATTCCCTAAACAACTAAACTCCTACACTTACAACTAATAAAAGCAGAAATTGTATAGTGGGTCGAGAAAAGTGTGGAAATGTGACTAACTCTAAACTGTACTCTTGAGTAAAATAACATTCGTTGGTATAGAACATTACATAGAAGTGCATATTAGCATAACAATGAGAACAGTTTTTGGGCTTCTTATGCTTCAAAAAATAATACACAGTGGCGAAATCGATTTTACTAGACTCTGTGTTCTATTTTTTAGAGATTGATACTGAAATGAACATTGAACTTTGTGTTTGAGTGTTTTACTTCAAGCTTAAATGCGAGTACTTAGCTTTGATTTTGCTCTTCATATAGATAGACCAATATGAGATATATTAAAAAGAAATAGTGGACTGCCATGATATTTACTTTAATCTACACTGAGAGAAACAATCATCTGGTTTTAATTTATTCAGCACTGTGAAGCAAATTTGATATTGCTAGCAATGAAAGGATTTTAAAGATTGTACGAGTAATTTAATGATGCCGGTGAAAATTGCAGCAAGGTGTATTAAAAATAAATAACGATTAGTGTGGCTGAAAGTGAACATTAAGTTAATAAAATTTCATTATTTGAAAATTATCTCTGCTTTTATTTTTGCGGCTCTGGATTTTCACAACGCCTTAATGCAATGCAGAAGCAGTGCCAAAGTTGGTAAACTTGTCTTTTTATTTTTGTTCCACATTTTATAACATCTAAGAGATGAAAGACTCTAGAAAATATAATAAAGCAGGAGATTTGAACCTATGAGCTATGAAAGGTTTGTGGCGTTGAAAGGAAAATATCATTTTTGATATTGGGCCACATTTTCGGTAACAATAAGAAAATAACTTGCTTTTATGGAAAATTGGGTATACCTACTACATATTAATTTAGTTGGATTTTGTATATTTTAGCGAAAATGAAGTTGCGGTAAATGTTCTATAATGAAATTTGATGTTTTGTGTAGGCCTTTTTGTTCATTTATATCACATCCTAACAGTTGTTATTTAATTCGGAAATCATTTGTATTTTCTATAGCAAAATCGATTTTTATTTTCAAATTTCTCCAACTACTTATTAAAGATTTTTTTCGTTAGTAAGTAAGTTAATTTAAATTTCAGAAAAGAAAATGGCTAATTAGCTCCTAGGGCGGTAGAAATTTTACCTCCCTCATCTGTAAAAACTATAGTACAGTTGGAGACAAAATACTTTGGTCGTCAATGTCACTTGAGTGACATTAAATTGTAAAGCATGCTTTAGGACTGTTAACCTTATTTTTAGCTACTGTCAGTCATAGTTGACAAGTTGGACATATTTTTGATAGAAAGATATAATAGCTGTCATTAATTTGAAATTGTCATTCATTAAAGCTTGAATCACATTTAAGTGTCAGAAAAGTGACGACCAAAGTATTCTGTCTCCAACTGTACACAGGCTAATTTTTATATTTTGTAGGGCTTACATTAGAAACTTTACAATTTTCATTCTTGACTTGACTAAATTATTTTCAAAATGGCTAAGCTTCCAGAAATATGAGAAATTGGGGCCAACTTTTAAAATAGAAACCATTCATTTTAATTTTTGAATTTGCTATTTCTAATTGTCATAGTTTTGACTAATTTATTCTGCATTTGATAACCGACGGTTCAAAGAATCTTCTAAGACAGTTCAAAATTGTCAATTGTCAAATATCGAGGCTAGTCTGTCTTTTAGAAAATGACAAACAAAAACAAAAACGACTTAAAACTTTTTTTTTTGATTGAATGAAGCTATTTTTTTTTCAATGGCAATCGAAAGAACATCGATTTCTATGAAAACTTTTATCAACATGTCCTATACCTAATTCTTGCAATTTTTGAAATAACCACGAAAAACGTATTTTGATTCTTTATTTTCATCGTTATCGATTTTCATCGATTTGCAAAAATTCATACATTGTTATGTGAGGATATTATGTATTGAAGGCGAGACAGGCCCTTTAAATTATTCTATCGTTTTGCTGTAAATAACAAGTAGAGTGTATTTTCCTCCTTTGTAATGCGAATTATTAATATAAAAAGAAAACATGTAAAAACTGAAAAACTGTTTTATTTCATTGGTTAAGTTTATTTAAGATATACACAAATCTACAACATGGTCCAATCAAATTTAATTGTTTAACCTCTTTAAAGCCTCCAGTACTTTGATTTACCGAAATACCGTGCGATCAAAAAATAAATAAATTAGAGTAGGCGTCGATTAAATTCTACAGTTGGCAACACATTGGCTGGGTATCTGGGCTGGAAATTTTCCACACAAACTGAAAGTGAAAATGACCATTCACCGTTTTCGTCTTGTACAGCAATAAAAATTTTCTTCTTTAAAGTGAACATTATTTCACTCAAAAGCAATAAAACGCAAACTTGTCCGCTGACATTTGATGTCAGAAATCAGGATTACCATCTGAGGGACTTATCACCGCCTACTCCAATTTATATTTTTTTGATCGAACGGTACTTTACTTAACTCCTGTTCCACAACGTCTGAAAGCTTCATTTTCGAATTACAAATTTTCCTTGCTAATTCTGGAGAAACTAGTTAGAGAAGATTTAATTTAATTTTATTATTTGTATCCCGCGTTGATCCTTCAAGGATTATTTCGACCAAGTTATGTCTGTAGTTCTATGATAACAGAATTTGGCATTATTTTCCAAAAACACTTTTATTAAATTTATCAGTTTTGGATGCTATAATATTGATTTTTCCATATTTTTACGTGTCTGTTTTTAGGGCGTCATATGAAGGGTTTCCAATAAAGCAGTTTCGAAACTTTTACACTAAAATTAATTGTCTTGAATGACCTCCAAGATACTTACGCAAGAACAGGAAAGTCTAGTCGAATTGTTAAAATCTTTGTTCTATGTATAATATTTTAACAGTTTTGAATATAATTGGACAGCTTGTCTGACTAATAAAGGGAGGTCGAAGTAGGTTCATTCAAATTATTGCTCTAATCAC